CAGTTTGGTGTGCATATGCACGCAGTTGGGTAGTAGCTTTAGAATATCAGCATCATTTGAGCATTGCTTTGTTGTATTGTAAATCATGAAGGCTTTATTGCTTTACCAGCGCTCATATGTGTACGTAATGGTACATATTTGTTCATACACTGAGATTACAGTAGACGACTGCAGGCGGATTCATGTGTGTATCTGCATGTGTCAGGGTTACATGTGCATTTGCTTGTGTGTTTGTACTTATGTGAGTGAATATGTGTGTTTTAACGAATCTTGGGAAGCGTCATTGAACTCATCAGGATATCAGTGTTGAGAAATGGCAGTGTCAGTGAAGTGACAGTTGTGTGTGTTAGGATTGATGGGCCTTAGTCTGGCAGCAGCCATATTGTGAAGAGGGAAAAGGATGAAGGGATGGAGGGAGGAACTGAGGGAGGAGTATTGTAGCCCCCTCATCCTCACAGGTTAATATTGACACAGCCTGGGCAGATACAGTGCCTGCAGCGATCATCAATCACTTTCACTGGACCCAAACACTCATACACACATTCAAGCAGAGAGAAGGACCAGACACTGTAAGATACAGCACACAGAAAAGAATACAAACTTTTAAAGTCGGGCAGAATCATTCTATTTAGACACGTTAAGCAAAATGATAAAAACTCACACATTAATGTAATGTTTTTGCCTCTATTAGCTTTACTAAAACGACAGTATCTCTTTTGTTTAAAAGTTCTACTTAAATAAGCACAAAAACAATTTTGACAACTTTACAAAACAAACAGTTGTACAACAAATCTAGATTAATCAAGCAAATATGTTTTCAAAAGTATCACTTTGTGTGTAACCCAGCGTTTCAAATTATGGTTTCCATAAGATTGTTGTTAATCATTTCAGAAAGAAAGAAAAAGCAAGTTTCCTTGACAAGCAAAACAATTAATTAATGCAACTTTTCATCCATCAATCATTGTGTGTGTCACTGAATTACCATAATCTGTGCATGGTGGCTGTTTTAAGAGCAAACAGTTAATTTCAAAACAATAAATCACAAAGTGTCTCTACCCCTCTGTGCGTTTTGACAGCTTCGTCTCTCATTGCTACAGATGAAGCCTTACTTCAAACCATTTCAGTTTTCCTAAAATGTTTTAATCATATGCGCAATGAAAGGCAGGGGTCTAACAAAGTTTCCCATACAGCTGTAACCAAAATGTCTATTAATCACTTTGGGAATATTCAAATAAAATGTAATAAATGCTTTTTTTCATAATGAGTTAATTAATACTATATTAAAAAAAAAGTTGCATTGGACTAGTAATTAGCATTACACATTTAAGATGTTGATTCTTGCCCCTTCTTTCTGCTTATTTTTTACTTTTTTTATATAATCTCCCAGGACTGGCATGGTTATCTGGACGGGCTGGAATCATTCAGCCATCGCCATGGCTATGATGCTCTGGTGGGTCTCCTATCCACCAATGATACAGTTCACCATCCCCGCCAGCAGGTGGCTGTCTACTCTAACAACACAAATCTCCTAAACCAGGTAAATCACATTTACAACCACCAACACAGCCACACATGTCAAGAATAATGGTGCTTCTTTTATAAACACACCCCTATGAATAACGTTGAGGAATTAAAATGTGCATTGTGATGTGTTTTATTTATTTTTCAATTGAATTAATCCTTTTTGGAACCCTAAGTGGAGCATAGTACAACCTGAAAATATTTTCAGGGGATTTATACCTATAACTTTTACGAGGGTTTTTGTCTACGTTTAAATTGTAAGATGAAAACACAGGAAAACCCCAGACATTACAACGCTGTGGTAGCAAACTTTCCATCAAAAAGTAGTCACTCCCAAAGCATACTCTTCTTAGCATTGTTTAACTGTAAATGGGACCATCATTTAAAAAATGAACATAATGTTTACAACGTTTAATAATGTAATAAATCAAGTGGGATTTCCTATCAATATTCCCATATACTTATATACTATCAAAAATGTTTTGCAACCAGAAGAGTCACTGGCCATTAGAAAGCATGCATATTTAAGGCTTTTCTGTATAGGCTTCACTTTTCAAAACCGGAGGTACAGCTAGCAGCAGAAGCTTAGCAGTTCCTGAAAAAAGCAAACAAGTTTTTCTCTTGAATAATTAGTTTTTGAGGTACTGGTAGGCAGATTGTGTTACTTCTACTGTCAGTGGAGTTTTGCAAGCTTGTCCCCTTGTTTATTACTGTTAATCTTAGTTCACCAGCTGCCTGTTGAAACCTCATTTACTGAACAGTTATTAGAGGGGTCGTCCACAGTTTTTTTTCTCCTAACCCTGGGAATGAAAACAAATAAGCTAACTATTCTTTGGAAAAAAATACATTAGAATAAACCAAAAAGTAAAACATAATGGCTTTATATTGCAGATCTGCTGTGAGTTGGAAGAGTCTTCCAGCTGGTCTCTTTCTGGTGAAATGGAGGCCAGGGGGGGTCTCCAGGTCTATCACATTCCTATAAACACCTGCTTAACTTCCGGTACTCCTCCTCTGCTGGTAGAAGAAATAAAGGGCCTCCTCAGGGACTTTGTCGATCGGCGGAGCTCTGTATTAGCCTGCCACCCCAGCAGTAGGACCTCTTCCACAGAGGGAGTGGCAGGCAGTGTCGAGTTCTCCCAGGGATCATCTGGTATCAATGACATGGATGGCTCTGACATTGAGAGAACCGAGGGTGGCAGTGGAGATGTGGTGCCAATAGCAAGGTACTTAGATGCATTGCTGTATCATCCAGTATTGGTTCAAATCTCATATATATATTGAAAAAACGTATGGATAGAAATCGACACAATTCAGTGATGGTGTTTGTTTTATCTTTGCACATAGAGTGATGACTGATGGAGAAGAAGTCACAGGAGGGGTAGGTGCTGGTGCTGGTGGGGAGCTTGTGAGCCCCGACAGTGGTATGACCACCATCCGGAGCAGCCGCTCCTCCAAAGAGAGTTCGGTGTTCCTCAGTGATGACAGCCCAGTCGGGGAAGTTATAGCAGGAGGAGGACCAGCTGCAGGACCAGGAGGACTCTTCCTGAGAAACCCTTCTCCCCTGGGAATGTTATCCCTCTCACCTCCTGTTCCACCTGAGAGGAGGAAGAACCTCTCCGGCAGAAATAAGAATGAAAACTTAGACCTGTTTAGTTTTGACCCACTAAATAGCAGTGACCAGTCAATGCAAACAAGAGGAGAATTAGCCACTTCTGGAGCGAGAGTAGATGAAGTAGAAACAAGAGAAGGTAGCTCTAGCTTATCAGAACTTGATGAGCTCAGCTTGTTGGATTTCTCTGCTTCATTAGGTGGGCTTGACAGTAGACATTTTTCAATTGACGACCATGGTCAAATCCATGGTAGTGACATGACTGACACTGTGGTTCCTCCAACTCCAGTCAACAGCGTGGTAGGTAGCCGTCCACCCAGCAGTTGTGGGGTCCGGTTCTTTCCAGAAGATGTAGTTGAAAGGATTAATGGCCTGCAGCACAAGGACAGTGTGTCATCTTCATTGTCAGAGACCTGGGATGAACTTGGCTTTGAAACACAAGGAGCAATGTCCTTGAGTGACAGTAATGCCTGGAATAGGACCAAAGGATCTGAGAGCCCGCTGAATATCATAGAGGAAGATAGAGGGAAAGAGTCACTTGATGATATGACTGAACAAAACAGCAAAGAAGAGATCTTAAAATCAGAAAATGCCCAACAGAGGGGAAAGAACCTTGAGCCCCAGCTTAGTCTGATCACTGAGCAGACTGAATCATACGACACCTGGAACCCAGAGTCTGTAGATCACGATAAGTGGAACCCCATTACCTTACATAGTCTGCAATTGACACCACCAGAGGAGGAATTTATTGGAAAATGCAGGGCTGGTATCATTGGAGTGAAAGAAAAAACATCCTCATTGTTGAGAAAGAAAGCAACCCTAAACACTCTAACACCAGACACATCTAAAGAAGATGACGAAGGGGTCCAAGGGAAAAAAGGAGACAGGCAAATGGAGCTCCTAGATTTCTGGACATACTCAGCACAGAAGGGATTTCTCAAATCAGATAGCGGAACCACCACGTCTTACCCTGAATCCCTAGATTTGTGGAATATGACAATCAGGGATGACAGTCTATCACCTCTCACGACCCCTGACAACTTGTCTGGAAACTCAGGTTCTTTCTGTGGGGTGATCCCAAACGTTAAGACTGGTGCATCTGTGGAAAGTCCAGAAGGATTCCCTGGATGTGGAATGGTGATGTGGAACACCACCATACAGGAAGACAGCTCTTCCACAGTAACAAGCCCCGAAGGACCTGAAAATGGAAAGAACCTTAGTCACATGGGATCCCTGGACACCAGTGATTCTCCAGAGACACATGTAAACAAACAGGTAGAACAAGAAACAGCTAAAGGAGAGGAGAGAGGTATGAATAAAGTACTTACTCAATCACCTGAAGAAGTGGGATGGAAATGTTATGAACACAATGTGAAAATAGTTATAGAGGCCGCAGAAGGTACAACACAGTGTGAAGAAACAGGCGACGATGACTTCCAGAGTTTTCAGAGCCAAGAGTGTGTCTTGCAGGACTTGGCATCTAAACGTTCAGAATATGAGACTACCCCCCACCAAGGGACTGACATGTGGGACCTACCTGTGCCTGGCATGGTCACCTCTACTTCAGAATATGAAAATGTAGGAGCTGGCCCTTGGAGCCTGCCATCCTCCCCTGATGCTCATTCTAGCCCCGTAGTAGACATGATACAGCTTGAGGAGCAGTCTAGCCCTTTTATAGCTGTGACAAGACCTAATCAGATCGAGGGGCCCAATCAGAAGGCTGACCCTCTGGGAAACACTGAATCCAGAGCAGATATTTCAGACAAAGAACAGACGACCAACCAAGTGTTCCTTTTTGAGGGAGCTAGTGAGTTGGGTCACATGATTAGCAGTGAAGTAAGTTCAAATGAGAGTAATGAGGACCAAACAACATCAAAGGAAGCTGATTGGATTGAGCAACATGGTGATCATTCCCCATTTGTCCTGGTGGACTACTCCACTGTCACTCAGACCACTTCACCTAAACATCATTCATGTCCAGGAGAAGCTGCTGATGCTCAAGTGCCGTGTGACCAATCATTATCCCCAAGCCTTGTTGATAATCCTGTGTCGAAAGATCATGCCAGTGAAAGTGGTCATGACAATGAGAGCAATGGAAATGCAGTGGGAAAAACTACAGAAACCATGTCCTTAAGCTCCAGCTCTGGGGGGGATAGAGACACGCTGAAATATAGCCCGGACAGCCTTCACCCAGGTAGTCGAGACGAACTCCGATCCAATTCAGATGGAGATTCATCATCAGGCCTAGAAATGGATTACATCATTGTGTCTGGCACAGTAAAAGAAGCTGAGAGAGAATGGCACGATAGGCCTAAACAGTGTGTCAGTCAATCAAAAGGTACAAGAAAGTCCATGGAGACATTTAGCATGCTTTCTTATGCTGCCACTGTTCTACAAGCCCAAGCCAAAGCTGCAAACAGAGGGCACCAGGAGAACCCAGAACAAAGTATACAAAACCAAATTATCAGAGGTACTGACAGCACACTAAGCAAAGTAACAGAGCAAAGTCAAGCTGTCTCATGCCCACAATACCAAGCAAGTCTTGATATTACCACTGATCATCACATGGTGCCACAAATAATCAGTCCTAGCCAGTCGAAAACTAACTCTAAATCTTTTCATCAGTCAGATTCAAGATCAACAGAATGCAGTCCAACACAGGTAGAAGAAGGCAACTATGACGATAAGTCAAGCTTTGTGGCCAGAAGTGTGTCCCCATCACTTAGATATCCATCAGACCACTTCCTGAAGACCAGAGAGGAAGTTTATGTCCATTCACAGATTTCAATGGAAGATTCAGACGAGGGTGGGCAGTCACCCTCTGCACCTACACAGTGCCCCACTTCCTTGGGAGACCTTCAAGGCTGGGGGTCCCAGTTAGTGGGACAGGTTGCACCGCCAACCACATGTGAACCACAATCACCTATACTTACCAACAGTTCAGTCTCCCACACCAGCTCTTTGCTTGGTACCCCTTTAAGTGAATCTGGCTATTCTACTCAAAGAGGACTTGGATTACCATTTTCTGGAGATTTGATGGAGGATGAGAATGATGAGGAAGAGCTGGAGGAGATAACTGATAAAGAGAGCACAGAAAGACAACAGTCAGGATCTTGCGATCTGCTAAGCTTCACTGAGGAGCTGGTTGGAGGTTCATCATTTCAACAAACAGGTTTACAAACTCTTGAGCCACAGAGGCTCCTACCAAATACAGTGGATTACTATAATGGCCAACCTGTAAGGACTGTTGATTGTGATGAATGGTTGACTGAACAACACGTTGGAGATCATCAATCTTCTCAAGATCGCTTTTCACCTGTTTCAAGGTAAGCAAAAACTGTCTTAAGCTCTGTTTTATTCTACCTTGGACACATTTATAATTATTCAAAAGTAAGAACAATTATGTCATACCAAAAAAAAATGAAGATAGATATTAAAGTTAAAAGACAACATACTCACCCTTAAAATATTTGTTAAACCAAACTACATTAAAAAAACACAACATCATTTTGTCATGTACATCTGCTGTAGCCTTGCAAATGGTTATTGTTTGATTTCCAATTTTTTTAGATATCTGTTACTGAGACTTCTAACTCTACACTAGAGAATAAATATGCCTGTGCTCATGTATTGGTTCTGCTCAAACACACACACACACACACACACACACACACACACACACACACACACACACACACACACACACACACACACACACACACACACACACACACACACACACACACACACGTGCCGTGCCAACCACCCCTTCCCTCACGCTCCTTTAGTTCTCTGTTCAGTGTTTTAGTCTCTACAGCTTTCACAATGGTGTGAATGTCAGAGGAATATGGGAATCACTGAACAGACGGTCGAAATTGAGCTAAAAGGCCCTCGTGAGGAAATGAGTCTTGTGTGTGTGTTGTATTGGTGAGTGACAGACTAAGATTGACAGTGAGGATGTGAAAATGAATATGAGTGGTGTGACAGAAACTGATTTTGTGTCCGTCTGTGTGTTTGTGTATTGTTAGCGCAAAACAAACTGCATTTGTATGTGCATGTATTTCATGTGATTGTCAGCAAGCTTTGATCTGCAGCTCTGTGTGTGTTTATAAATCTGTTTACGCCTCATTAAATATGCATTACCTGCCTCATTACAGCTGGAGCCCCACCACAGCTAATGGAAACAGCTCCCCTAGCTCTCTTAGAAGGTGTGGGTGTGAGTGCATGCGTACAGGACTGTGTTTGAATGTGTGATTAGGTAATACCCAATGTATCAGTCAATAATAGTTTGTCCGTGTAGTATCAATTTTACATTATCAATGAGTGAATACAATAGCCTCTTTGTGTCTATGTTTTTGTTTGCTTCTGTTGAATTGTTTTTGATATACTGTATGTGAAGTGGACTCATTGCTTCAATGTTTGTTATTCTGGACAAGTATTGCAAGATTTGGTTTTCAAATTAATGAATAGCAAGCATAAAATGATTCTGGTTTGTGTGGATTTAAACACTGTTAAAAGTACCCTGTGGAGTTTTCTTGTAAACAAATGTTCTGTTTAAATAAGTGTTACTCACCAAAACACAATGTGTGTCCTTGAGTCCTAACAGACATGTTGAATGCATTTCCTTCTTCAGAAAACATTTGCAATACATCTTATTTGTAGCTTTTGCAACCTGTTTTTGCTGGGGCAGTTCTACATTTCCTTTCGGACATCTTTCAATCACTTATAATTGCAGGAATATATATTGCACTTGCATTCTCACCACACACGTGTCTTCATGTGTGTGGTGAGAACAGATGCAACACCCACCTGCAAACACCGTGCTTTATATTGCTACTAGTGGTCAAAAACTCCACAGGTTACCTTTAATGTAAAGCTAATATTATGATTTAAACTCAACAGTGTGTTGGACAAGCCACAGAACAGCAATTGACCAATGAAGATCTCATCTTGCAATCCATTAGAATATAGTATATATATTATAAAATATAGAATACAGTGGAGCAGATCATGAGTGTATTGAATATAGTAATTTAAAGAAAAACATGAAAATGTTAACGTAAAAAAACACGAGTCATACAAAATACTAAAGGCAAATGGATGAGGTTCCTTGTCTCATTTGAATTTCTCCTTCTTTCTGTACTGATCCCTTATCCCCTATTCCCCTGAAAGAGGACAACAAGATGCGACTTCACAGCTTTCCTCCCCGCCAACCAACGAGAACGCTGCTTACCAGTGGACAGGAACTGAGAATGTAACCCAGGGCCAAACACAATACGGCTACAGCTACCACCACATTGACCATAGAACTGAAAACCAGTGTGCCCAAACAGCCTGTATGGATGAACATGGTTCTGAGTTTCAATATACAGCTGAAAGCCAGTATGGAGATGACTCCAACTCCATGTTCGCCTATGAACTCCAGTCCTCTCAGTATCAAGCTGATGGCCAGAGTCGGAATGAGACTTACGAGTTTGACGGACAGCCTTTCTACCAATCAAATGTCCACCCTGAGAGGGAAGATCATGCGCTGTATATGCCAGAGGAAAATATTTACTCTCTCCCATCAAGGTGAGCTTTCGCTCATACTGACTAAATGTTGCTCCTCAGTAGGTTCAACAGACCCAGCACTGTGTGAACATGTGGGTGCTCTCATGTCCTTTTTGTATCAGACATCCCTTTTTCAAGTTAGCCTCCAAAAGACAATGTCATTTTAAATGAGATGTTCTTTCATTGTCTTTTCTTAAAAGCTGAAACATGATCATAGTTGTTTACTGTTCATTATAAATGAGGGAGAAAGAGAGCGCTAAGGATGTGCATAGACTTTCCACAGACTAAAAGCTGTACTACTGACTTTTACCACAAAGAGGCAGCACAGATCATTTTAACGCTGGAATCAGTCCTTACAATATGTTGTACTTTGATGAACAGGTTCAAATATATTTACTACTATTTCAGTGCGTCCTGTGACATGATACATAATACAAAATGGTTTGAAGAAGCAAGATTGGGTTCATTTCTGATTTACAGAACTCAAAATGTACAAAGATGTGGCTGTGGCTATAGGTCATGCAAAAATGATCTACCCAAATCAGCAGGAGTGAAATTTAAAAGAAGTGTCAGTTTTGTTTATAGAGACCAATACCACAATTTCCCCTCAATTAGTCCACACATGATACCCCCTTTCTTTACACCATCAATAAGGATTAAGAAAAATAGAAAGAACTGCAGGAGGAGTACTGACTTGACCAGCGTATACCAATACAATATAGAACATCACAGGGTGTTTGTCTATATATATTCAGTTAGTGTACATGCATGTAGTGTGTGTGTGTGTGTGTGTGTGTGTGTGTGTGTGTGTGTGTGTGTGTGTGTGTGTGTGTGTGTGTGTGTGTGGTGTGTGTGTGTGTGTGTGTGTGTGTGTGTGTGTGTGTGTGTGTGTGTGTGTGTGTGTGTGTGTGTGTGTGTGTGTGTGTGTGTGTGTGTGTGTGTGTGCGCGCGCGTGCGTGTGCGTGTGTGTTCTGCAGTTTAATTGTTCCTTGTTAGCAGTTGCACCATGGTACTTGTTTTGCCCCACTTTGTAATTGTGATGACCTGCCCCCTCTTTGGGATGCACCACCCTCCCCTGTCTTGTACTCTGTGTGTTTGCGTGCACGGCAGACCTAATCAGGTGGTCACATGACCTGATTATGATTGTGGAAAGAGTGGTTCAGTCTCTCTGATAGGAGAAGAAGGAGTAAGTGAAAGGTAGGTGACAGAGATTATTGAAAAAAGGGAGGAGGAAATGTGCGGGTGTCGTTGTTGCTATAATCATGTGTACTGGTTTCTCAGTACTGCTTCCCTCTATTGTTACCAGGCCTTATGTTAATCAAGTCTGTTAGAGGGGCTTTGGTTGGGGGAGGTAGCAACACTGCTCAGTATTGTTTCCTCTTCCCACACGTGCAGCCAGGGAATGAAGCAGTGAGTTTCTTTCTCTGTCTGCTTCTGTTATCTTTTTATGTCCAAAGTCAAATGAACAGATTTGAAACTCTTTCTCATTTGCTGTCATGGGAAAAGTTTTCTTTGTAGATGATTGTCTTTGTCTTGTTTGGCCCAATACTATTCGTAGCTGTGCCTCTGGTGGCAGTGGTGATAGCGATGATAATTTATGTTGTGGCTTATTATTGTGTTTCTGTGCCTCTGAGCAGACACTCCCAACAGGGAGACGGTGCATCGGGGATTATGATGAAGACGGCCTCCAGTGAGGAGGCTGCTGAGGAGATGGATAACAGAGAAGGTAAATAAACAGCAAGATAAACTAAACTTCTCTGATTTACCCTATCAAGGAATAATCTCTTTTCACTATTATGTTTTACAGACTTAAAGAAAGTTGCATTGGGGGAAATAACAGTGATTGAAAACATTTCTCTGAAAAACATATTTGAATCTAAGAATAAAATCAAACCATCTCTCTTTGACCAGATGCACCATCCTCAGCTGATGTGTCAGGGGGCTCCAATCAGAGGAGAAAGTTGACAGCTCCACCAATGAATGTGTCACTGGACCGCAGTGAGGGGTCTCTTCTCTCAGAAGATGCCCTGGACACTGAGGACGATGCCTTGGATACTGGAGATGACCTGGATGTCAATGTAGACGAGCTGGACAGTCCTGATGAGGCAGACGAGCTGGAGTTCAACAGACACGGTCAAACACCTGAAGACACAATACAAACATGCACACAGCCACACTGACATTACATATTGTCTAAAAAAGTATAGTTATTGTCCTGTAAAATTGTCTTTATTTCACAAACAGGTGACTCAGAAGAGTCAAATATGGATGCAGGAGCAGCATCAGGTGATGCGATTGCAGCACACAGAGCAGCTGAGGAGAGCAGGGAAAACCGTCTGTGGAGGAGTGTGGTGATCGGAGAGCAGGAGCATCGCATTGACATGAAGTGCATTGAGCCATACAAAAGAGTCATTTCTCATGGAGGTACGCAAATACAAATGTTTAAAAGCTGTACCTGTTTCTTTATGTTTCATATCATTCTATCATATTGAGTCTAGTGATGCTCTGCCTTTTGACAGTTGGTGTGTCTTCCTCGTTCATGATTAAATTAACTTATGGTAAATCATTTCCAACTCAATGTTAGAAATGACTAAGTGGTGGATAACTGCACATTGTGTCTTTTTATTTTGTCAGGTTATTATGCTGAACAAAATGCCATCATCGTGTTTGCAGCATGCTTCCTACCAGACAGCGACTTTGACAATTACAATTATGTAATGGAAAACCTTTTTCTGTAAGTATAGCTATGCTTCATGATGTAGTGTAATACAAGCGAACATCAAATGATGTCTTGATTTGTTGCACAAAGATTTTCCTTCATCGGAGCATAGGGGCCACATCAAACCATTAAAAAACAGTTCTGACCAAAACGGCTCACTTAAATGTGAACTTGGAATTGATTATTTACTGTATTTTATACAATTCAATTAACTAGAAAAACACTGGTGTTGCTTTTGTAGCAGTTCTTATATATTATCGTCTTTACACAGCATTTTCTATGTCTGCGTAGGTATGTAATAAGTACGTTGGAACTAATGGTGGCAGAAGATTACATGATTGTTTACCTGAATGGTGCCACACCTCGCAGAAGGATGCCGGGCTTTACCTGGATGAAAAAGTGCTACCAAATGATAGACAGAAGGTACTATACAAACAAGAAAATGCAATGTATAACTGTTATTATTGAAGCACACAAACATTTCTGTGTAAGTTTTAATTATATAAGCAAAAGTTGATATGCATACAATTATGGAAGCTCTGCTAAGCCTACATTATTTTGTAAATACTTTTTGACGATCGCTTGTGCTGTACCAGTAGGCCAGAAGGGGGCGTAGTAAACCATAGACTGTAGGGATAAACCTACTGCAAACCTTAATTTTTAAATGCTCAACAAAAGATGTGAGATAAACTCAGTTGTAGATTTTGTTTTAAAAGAGAATTATCTGTGTCAGTAAGTACTAGTTCACTCAACCCTCTCCCTATACTGACAGACAGTCAGTTCACTGAGCTTTCATTTGACACTTCAGACACTGAGAATCATCATTTTGAGTGATCATTGAGGCAGATCTATAAATGCTCAGATACTTGTGCTTCATTGATGTATAATGGTAAAACTCTGTAAATAATGTCAGTGACAGAAATAAATCATAGGAGCTTAGTTCCCTGTGTGTACTACCTCTTATCTTCATTCTACTCCTATAATAAAGTCTACTTTATAGCAGCAAGCAGGAATGATACACATGGAATACCTAATAATAAGTCAATATGGTATTAGTTAAACCTTTACTAATCTTATTACACCACTACTGCTTCTCCTCACAGACTGAAGAAAAATCTTAAGATGTTCATCATTGTCCATCCTTCCTGGTTCATAAGGACTCTGCTGGGAATCACCAGACCCTTCATAAGGTTTCATTTTTGTAGTAAACATTTAGATGACACATACACACACATCATCACAGTAGTTGACAGGAAGTAAAGCGCAACAGAGGTTTACATTTGTTTTACATGTACACATTCCTCTTTTAACTTATATTCCACCAACAGTATGTGTTTCCAGGTTTTTATATTTAACTTTCTGCATCTATGGGTTTACTTTTTTAAGTATTAGCACTTGACAACACTACAAATCAAAATACAACAACCTATTTGTCCAAAATCACATTTTGTTTACATTGGAAACACAATATTTCACATTACTGATATAAACCATATGTTTCTGTCTCTGCAGCTCCAAGTTCAGCAGCAAGATAAAGTATGTGAACAGTCTGCGAGAGCTTGGAGAAATCATCCCAATGGAGTACGTCCACATTCCCCCCAGCATTGTAAAGTGAGTAAGCTCTTCTTAAAGTGTAACGTATAAAACCACACATCACAAGTTGAAAACGATTACCCTTTCATTTTTTTCTTGTGTAAAAACAATGTTTGTATTTCTTTGAGTTTTTGGAAAACTTCCTGTCAGGTCTATGTTTTTGGTAACAGCCTGACACCTTAATCCCCATGAATTGACAATGTAACCATTGTTAGTACACTTCTTTAACCAATGCGTCCCCCTCCTTAGTATATTCAGTTGAAATCCTCAGTCATAGGATCATTTCTTTTGGCGGCTGTTTGTGGACTAAAACATTTCTCACTCTGCCCCAAGGTATGACGAGGAGAGGGGTATACACAAATTTGCATGCATGAGGTAAATCGACTAACTTGTCTGTACTGACATTTTTTGAATTTTCACAAGCAGGGACTAACCTTTTACTGACTATTGGCTGCCTTCTTCTTCAACATAAAATGAGAAAGATTTTGATTTGCTTATTTCTCTCAGTTTGTGATGTGCCTGTTCCTGTAGCTCGGTTAATATTTTGTTAAATGTTAGTTGAGATCTAATGACCAAATACAACCTAAGTTATAAACCAACAAATAAACACAGTGACTTCCATACGTGGGGCAGGTCTTACGGTTTGTTTTCAATCGACCTGAAATGCATAATGTGACCGAATCATACTGTCAGTCGACCTTGCAGACAAGTAGCAGAGACTGGACTCTCTCATAATTGGCAGCAACATATTACCACAGTGTGAAATAATATGAGGTACAGTATTCTAACTGCAGCTGGCTAATGATAGATTTCAGTGAGATGAGTTAAAACTATTAGCATCGTGTGTTTGAGACTGGGCACAAACTATTGGCCAGTAACCACAATAACTAAAACTAAGTCATAAAGGTAGCAGTGTTAATTGTTCGGTGGGACTTTATTGGTACCACCAAAGCAAAACACAGTAGTTGGTGTAAATTGCCAACACAGTCTCACACATCTTTGATACTTAGAGAACATTCATGTACACCACTACCAGGCTGCTATTCAAGAAAAAATAAACAAATGACCAATGCTGTTGTTTTCTTGTGGTTAGGGCCGTATCTCTGTGGAACATACTGTATATGTTTTATGATTTGTATGTGTCTGTTTGCTGTTTGGAGTTATTTTGCAAACAAACTTCCTAACACACGCACATGCTTGCTGGTGCTTTGATGAAAATAGAGCGATGTTGAGAACATGGAAAAATTAAAGCTGTCTTATATTATACTTCATTTCTATTCATTATCGAAGGGAGGGTGTCTTGAGTCTGAAAACTAGAGACTGACCTAGAACCAGTGTTTGTGAAAAAGGGTTCACTGTATAAGGGTACAATGTTCTTTGGTTTAATGTTGGTAAATTATCCTCCATATGCATTGCAGTGTATCTGGGGCTCCCTCTTTCAACCTTAAACACTACCAATTTAGAGAACTGATGCTTGTTTTCCATTCCTTTCATCCACCCTCCAATGGCAGTCTGGAAGCAGGCTACTAATCCCCAGCAACTGCATGTGTACTGACAATATGGTTGCTCCCTGTCAGCTGTTCACCTCCCTCACTAACCTTTGCTCTCTGCCCTCTAACTTAATGCTTAACCAGACTGGATACTGCATTGCAGGACACATCTGCTAAGTAAGTAGAGGGCCACTCTCTGTCAGCAAGGGAATTTAACAGAGACAAAGAAGGACATGATTGCTGAATCACCAACATTCGATGAATTAGAAAAAGAAATAAAAAAATAGGTGTTTACCCAATCAAACAGCACGTAGACACTGCAGAGATTAAGAGAGACTGAACGAAAACATGCTGAGACCACAACTTTCTTTAATAGTAACAATCTTTTTTCCTGTAGTAATGTGCCGAGTCTTTGTATATTGTATATCTGTCTTAAGCTCTGCCTCTTTCTATCATAGAATAACTTGACTGGCCAAAAATCTTATCTACTCAACTAACTGCTTTAAACCCCAAGCAGGTCTTAGTGATAAAATACTGATTAGCCAAGACAAGGACACATACAGCACGGATATGCCTCAAGAAAATAAATGTTTATATTTAAGATTATATTGACATTGCACAAGTGTACTTTAGATATTTCCCTGCAGTAGAACATTGAACAATTATGTGTCTTTAGCCTACAAAGTATGTGCTAGTGTTTGGCTGGTTTCTGAGGTAATTTATACTTTAGCAAAGCCGGTCTCCTGCTGTATTGAATGAATCGGTGTTTATAAGTGAAGAATGGAAGATAATTGATAAAGGCAAAGACAATTCAACTCGTTTTATTTACAATCAGTTAAAATACAAAGTACAATAATAAGACAGAATGGAGATGAGAAATAGGACATACTAATAAGCTATCCGAAGCTTGCGAATAGGGGACTATACAGAAAAGAGAAGGTATTTGAAATACATCTTAATAACAAGTCTAGAATTGGCTTGAGTTCATTTATTGTACAGAAACATTTAGAACCTACATAATAACTAACATACATCCTAAAAAGTATACTAATCTAATTCTAACAACTAAATTGTCCCAAAGAATGTATTTGATTAGTCTAGAGTAGACATAGGTGAGCATCATATTTAACCTCCTGCAGAGCAGACGCATCACTCTGAGTTTTATTATATGCTTATTAAACTGTCTTTTGTGCCACTGCGAATAAATCTAAGAGCTGGCCTGGTAACCAGTGTTAACAGAAAAACGCTGTATATAATGAGATGTGCCGTTTAAATTAAGATGATAATATATCTGCATCTGCTACAAGCAAGAAGCCCTTGCAGAGGTATCCAGTTTATGATCTGACTTCTGTTTTTATTTCTCACATATCATTCAGTTTTTGTTTGCCAATCCCCCTGCTATAAATGTATAATTCTAATGCCATGATGACAAAGATGTATTAAAATTATTCCTCTCATCTTCTCCCCACATCAGAGCCGACAAGAAGGGGAACTCTTTTGTCTGACAGTAAAAGATCCCGGACTGCTGCCCGTCTTCTCCCTGCATTATGCTGTACTCTGCTATGGCATATTTGAATATAAGCTAGTCGGCAGCATGACATGTACGGCACATAGTTGTTACAACAACAACTAGAAAATGGTTAGAAAAGGAAGATGCTGTGGTACAAAACATCAGGCAGCTGCTTGTTCATTGAGCAGAGTACCAACCTGAGGGTGCTGGACATAATACTGTATTTACAGTGCAGAGACTGTCACTGTGCTGAAGGGAAGATGCTTTATCCTGTATTACTGTACATCACACAGCACTTGATTGTGTTACACATTCTGTAGCTTTTATTTCCTTTGTCTTAATCTTTAATTAACACAACTTGTATTATTATGTCATTTACTTTGGAGAAATTACTAACAGGCTTATTTTTAATTCATGTATTAATCTACCCTGCCAGTTGCCATCTGTACCTTTTGTAAACCATGGTAATAATAAGTGTGGATTCCTCGAAGACGTAGAAAGGCTTATGACTTTTACCTTATTACCAAACACATGAAAAGACAAGTTTTATTACCTCCCATCTGTTCACAAATAAACACGTATTTTGCTTTGGCAATTGGTTATTGGTGTGGACTGTAACGTTAAGGGATACTCTATTCAGACCATAGTTTTAGGTATTAAAGGTTTACAAAAAAGATGATCCAATCACAAAAAAAGTATTTGTACTGTAAATGTCTGGTATGTTTGTAATGGCATGAAACAAATGGTCAAACTGTTGTATGAATAGTTTACAATTGTTCAGATGGCTCCTGTCACAGTGAGTTTTATATTATTCCACCATCCCACTCAACATCTCTGGAAACTTCTAAAAGGCTGTCTCTAGGCTGTTCCACTAACACTGTCACTGTGAAAGTACTTGCACTCTTAAAGGTAGCAAAATAGCAGGGATCTATGATTGCCCTTAAAGTTCAGTGCACTGCAAACTCAATTAAACACATGCAGAAAGACAAAACAAAAGAAAACTCAGAAACATAACACATAAGCTCCAAATACAGAACCATTCTGCAAAAACAGAACACAAAAGCAATTGCATAGATGCTATATATAAAGAACATAGGCAAATATAGAATGCAGATTTCACAAAGTTCTCTGTATATGCAATGTGATTCTGTATTTACTTTAGTTTGTCTATAAGTTGCAGTGCGTTTAGCTCTCGGGGCCATCGTAGCTGCAGTAACGTATTGCATGCTTTCAATTGCTAGTTTGAGTGTGTGTGTGTGTGTGTGTGTGTGTGTGTGTGTGTGTGTGTGTGTGTGTGTGTGTGTGTGTGTGTGAGAGAGAGGGGGGGTGTGTCTACTTTAACATGCTTTTCTTATATTATATTTGTATACACTTGTTTGTTGCTTGCAAGGTATTCATTTGTTGTTAAAGTTGTTTAACTTAATTAAATATGTGTTCCTCCTTGGCATTCCTGTCAAAAAGTACCATATACAATACACTACAATAAACACAGTGCTCATTGCCTAATAATCAAAAGTTCTCACTGTTTTTGTTCTAAAAGATTAAAACACAGATATTATCTCATTTATGTTGACAGTGTCAACAGTGAAGAGTTTCATTAACATCATTATTGTGTCACTCCTGAATAGGTTTAGCGCCATTGTTTTGCTGGAAAATAGATGTTTTGCTGGAAAATAGATATTTTCCAGAGACACTGTTCTTTTGCACAATGTCTAGACTTCATATATATGTATAAAACACAGATACCTGCAGTGCTTACTGCATGCTCCTGCTTTAATTATACAAATATCTGAAAGTATTGCAATCACTCATAATGAATTCATGAGGTTGTAGTGTGGCATGATTAAGTCTTGTTGAATGTACACATCTCAGGGAGAAAGTCATAAAAACCTTTATTAGTGTAACTAAGGTGGAGACTAGCTGAATTGCTAAACTGGCAATAGTACCAAAGGTTGCATACAGGACCTACAGTATGTCTACCTTTGTATGCAATCATATTAAAATAAACATGGAATTAAACACTGTATGAATTTAAAACCAGGACCTGGTTTATGTTAGACAACAGAATTCATAAAGCAGGATCATGAAGTAAAAAATAAAGAATATTTACCAAACACATTGGCTACTCACAACCCACAAACTACTAATGTAGATGGACATTCAGGTTTTTGGTAAACAATTACTTCAATGTGGAAGCATTTGAACGAGGCCTGAAAGCAATAATTGTTAAATTGTATTTAACTGACAGTCAATATTATGTCAATGTATGTTGCTGCCTGAGCCATGGTCATAGGCCATGGTCAGGGGCGGTTCTAGGGGGGGGGGGGTGCCCCCCTAACACTGACTTTGGACCCCCCTGTGGCCCCACTGAAAATGAAAAAAAAATGAAAAAAGTTTATGATTAAACGATTTCTTGGCTGACGGAATAGGCGGAACTAACGATATTTGCCATTCCAGTCGGACCCATTAGAGCAGGGGTCTTCAACACGTCGATCGCGAGCTACCGGTATATCGCAAGCCCTCAATAGCCCCCACTTTACAAATATGTTTATTTAATTTTTTTAATGCAAGCCGTCATCGCCACGGAGGAGCGCACAGCCTCTGTGAGCGAGCGAAACAGAGAGAGAGAGAGAGAGAGAGAGAGAGAGAGAGAGAGAGAGAGAGAGAGAGAGAGAGAGAGAGCTAGAGAGAGCACACCTTTATCTATTTAATATAGTTGTAAAAAATAAAGTAAGAAATCATTCCAATGTGTACTATAGGACAGTAAAAAAAAAAAAAAACAGTTTAAAAGGGGAGTGATTAGTCAAATATGCATAAATAAAAAGAAAGAATGCTAACTATAGGTAACATAAGATAAGAATAAACTAGTTTAAATGATTTGTTATTGGTTGTGATCATATTCTAAAGATGTTTGGATTATTGAAAAGTATACAGCTCCCTTTCATATGAGTGTTGAGAGCTGTATCCATAAATTCATTTTGTGCTCAAAGTGCACCAGATTGATGCATTTCACTTCAACATTTAAAAAACACAGACCCAAACAGCACACAAAGGTTAAAGGTAAGCATATAATAATGTGTAATGAAACAAATACAAATAACTGTGTTGCATTGTTTTCTTATGCGCAATTACTTCATACTGTCTTTGTCTTTTTCGTCCTGCATTTATTGTGCCCCCCTCAGAAAATAACTGGCCCCAGCCTGGCCCCCCCCAGTCAAATTGGTCTAGAACCGCCACTGGCCATGGTTAGGGTGCCAGGGGAAGCATAGTCCTCTTGTCGCCCTCTTGTGGTTTGATTCAGGAGACTACCAGCAAACCTTGCAGTTAAGTCAAGAAGCCCGGCTACCATCAAGACATTTCCAAAAACACAAAGTTGTATAGGAACGACAGTACACTGTGTCTCTCCTAAAACTCGCCGTGCGACCCGTCGCTAAAGGTGCTTTATTAAACACTTTATTTGTTATCAATTAATCATCCACATGAGAAAACCTGCGTCGTATTTCCACGGATGAGACTGTGAATGCCTCACACGTAATAGCTGTATTTCCTACAACACCTGAACACAACACGTGACTGCCAGCCCGCTTTGGTCACGCGGTTGATGACATCAGCAGCAGCGTTACTGACGTTGATATGTGACTACACATGTAATATTACACCACACATGTAATATGTCTACTACTTCATGGTCACTTACATACTGAGAGTGGAACTAAGCGAAACCGGGACCGTCATTTGTTGAGAACTCAACTCCCAAAAGCGTCGGATAAAACCGTTTCAGGAACCAGGAGTCTCTATTGAAGCTAACAGCAGCTAGCCTAGCTGGTGAACTTTTACCATCGTTGCTCATTGACAATAAACGTTATCTAACTCGAGCAAGCTAACCAGGCAGGTGTAGCTTCGTGCGAGGACGGACTTTGAACTGTACCGGGAGGAGATTCTGGTTGTGTTGATTGTCAGAAGAGTTGCTAGGTGGTGCTGCTGGCTGATTTACCAGTCCGACTTCCTTGTCTTGTTCGAGGTCATTCTGTAGCGTCCATCTAGCCAGCTGTTATCGGGAAGCTAGCGGTCATGAAGAGCCTTCCGTATTTCTGCCGGGGAGAGGTCGTCCGAGGCTTCGGGAGAGGAAGCAAAGAACTGGGGATCCCCACTGGTGAGTTTATCATCTTCCATTCATATATTTGGGTTTTTAAGTGGCTAACCTATAGCTACCGTAGACAACGTTAGGTCAGTCTGATTGTTATTGGGAGTAACTTAATCAGAGAGAGAACCAGACTATAGCATTAACATCGACAGTCTGTAGTTGTTGTGCAACACAGCTATATAACATATTTACCCAAATGTGCACTCTGGCGATTCTGCAGGTACCTAAGTTATCATGTATAATGGTTTCAAAGGTTTAGTTACCGACAGCATTAGTGACAGCTTTTTAAGCAGGTCTCGAGTGCGCACCGTTTTTTGGACTGGGGTAAATGTCAGTTGAGTAAAATAACTTGACAGATGATGTAAGCTGTGATATTTACTGAAATTATAGTTTATATGAGATGAGAGATGTTTCCAGAAACGCGTCGTGAGCGTGCAAATGAATGGAGAATAACTTAATAACATGACGCAGTAAAGATAATGTATCGCTTAAGTGTAAAATCTAATGAAAATATTCTCATGTAAAATCATCAAAGCATTGAGTAATAATAAAGTAACACCTTTTACATAATCTAAAAATGATTAAGCCACAAGGTCCAAGAAAGAGTTTGTTTTGTTTGTTATATGAACATTTTCAAACCGGCCCTCTTGTACTGTAAATCCTGTAAAAACACTTATTACTTCTGTCAAACAGAGACAGGTTGCTTTATGTATCCCACAACAGGGGACACGTCCTTTCATTACATTTAGGAATATATTATTCTTGAGCAATCCATATCAGATTTACAGAACAGTAGTATGTCTAGGCATGCAGGGCTTCTAAACAGTGAATACATTTGTAAATGTTTCTCCTAAAAGTGTTCTCTGTTTTAAATAAAAAGTCAGACTTTCTAATGCTAACAGGTTCTGATTCTTCCCCCTCTTCTCTCTCCCATCTCCAGCCAACTTCCCAGTCTCAGTGGTGGACCATCTTCCTGCAGATATCGGCACAGGGATCTACTATGGCTGGGCTTGCGTCGGTAACGGTGATGTCTTCAAGATGGTGATGAGCATAGGCTGGAACCCATACTACAAAAACACCAAGAAGTCCATGGTCAGTATTATTTTAAGGCAGTATTCACTGCAAATGGTGTTTTTCAGTTTAAGAAAGTGTTTGCATTGCAAATCTATGTATAAGTTATCAAATCTGTTGTCTTTGACAAGGGTTTAAAACCAGTAATGTTGTCGTCAAAAAAGCTGTGGTCCTTCCACAATGGTACATAACATATTTGAATTTTAAAATAAAGAAATAACTGCTCATTAAAATAAAATTAGTAACTCATGTGTTGATATTGTAGAAAAAGAGGCCAAAATTGTTTAGTGGAATATAATGTAGGGATGTTTTCAACATGTTTTTATTATGACTATGATAGTACCGTAAACTTTGGACAGCCTCGGTACATTTTTCAGCATTTATTTAGCAAATTCCTCATTTGATTAATTTCAGACGCAGGAGCAGGGCTGAATGCAAGACATTGTAATACATCCTGGTTTGTTAACACTGTCAGGGAATAATTCTGTATACATGTTTACCTTTTGCCCTCTGACGCAGATGCCTAGCCTTGGGCAGCCGCTATCTCCCTTAAGGAGGGGCTGCCCTAGCATTTTGTTGTTGTTACCAGTTTATGTTCGGGCAACTCTCTGTCAGAGTGTTATTGTTGTGGGACACCTGGAACACATCCTTCTCGGGGTGTAGATGACCCCGAGCCATAAGCGACAACAAATGTGATTCAGTGTCCTCAGCTGTTTAGTCTATCTATTGAAGAATGTTGATTATTACACTCTGAACTAGTTAAAACCTGGAACTACAGGAGGGTTCTTCAGAATTGATGTGGCATCTCTACCGTGTGGTCAGATCGTGGCCCTGTGACATGTCTTGTGAATTCTCCGGCCGAAGCTCCAAATAAACCGTCAGTGTTTGTCATCAAAGCTCCAGCTCTCCTCGTGTCTCTTTGAGTCCTGACTCCATTGCTACAGAAGTTTCCCCCACAACAGGAATGTGGTGGTACAACACATTTGACAGTAGCAGTTCTCTTGTAAATATGACCTTTTTTTTTATAGGAGACTCATGTGATTCACACATTCAAAGAGGACTTCTATGGAGAGATTCTCAGTGTGGTCATGGTGGGCTACATTCGCCCAGAGAGGAGCTACGACTCACTTGGTATGAAATCCTTCTCTCTCACACTCACGCACTCACACAGTGGAATTCAATAGATTTATTGGAATGAAAGCTTAAAAACTATTTTTCAAAAGCATTGAAGTATAAATTGAACACATAAATAAAATACACAAAACCAATAATTTGAGCACTAACACAATACAGGTAACAGTTTTCCATTTGGATATTATTATAACTCACTCACTCAAAGATCTAAAATATAACCTGGGTTCCAGCTGTTAAATTATCCTCTTTACCCTCCATAATTTCCCACATCCTATACTCTCATTATTCTTCTCTTCGCACCTGACTTATTTTCTGCCTGTCTTAATTTCTCCCTAACAGAAGCGCTAATTGCTGCCATAAACAACGACATTGAGGAAGCCAAGCTCAAGCTGGAGCTCCCGGAGCATCTCAAACTAAAAGAAGACAACTTCTTCACCAGCGTTACCAGCCTGTCGTCAGCACCGCCCCCCACCACCGCGTCCACATCACAGACTATTATGAACGGTCACTAACAGCTGCTTACGACTGTAGCACACGTTCATCACACACCCCAGAACATCACAATGGTTTCTATTGACACACAGGTGTTTGCACTCATTAACATGCACAGCCTCATACTGAGATGTCTAAGCTGTCACCATGACTGCACATAATGGTAAACAACCAACCTTTTTTTTTTCTTATTGTATTTTTCTTTCACTTCCTCAATGTGTCTCAACTATTTAAGTTCCTGTTTGTGTTTATTGCACACAGCCAGTTAGATGTTTATTTGTATACATCCATACCAGATTGCCTCATATAAGAGCATAACTGTATGAATTTCTTGCTCTCACTGGTCCTGCTGTATATTTGGAATCTTTTATGTGAGAAGGTACCTATTGAGACCTAATGAGGTCATTTTGATCTGTAAATACCAAAAGACACTAACGGCCTGTAGACCCGACTCGTCTCTCACTGGTTAAAGACACACACATGTTATTTCAAATTTTGGGCATTATTATCAGTAAAAAAAAAAAAAACTGGTCGTACTGTTAGATGACTTTATGCAACAATGTGGCTAAATGCAATGAATAAGTGGAGATTAAATTATAACATTATAATAATATAATGGTATTAAAGTATCTTCTAACTTTCTTCATGAGAAAACTATTTCCCTTCCAGTGGGGCACTCATTATCACTGCCCTAAAAATACGAATGACCCAATTACACTGGAATTACATTTTGATTTGGGGTTTTTGATGCATTATGCAGGAAGAATATCGTATTGCTATGGTTATTTGATAACTAGCAAAATGATTATTGTTTAATGGAGATGAAGTTTTGGCTTTAGCTTGGCTGATGCTCTGACCTACAGTCCGTCAGTCACAGGTTGTTTGTGTGTGTGGTAAAACATTGATAGATGATATGGGATAACGTATAGGGTCACAGTACCCTGCTCTGATATGTACAAAGTGTAACAGTCACACAAATACACATTATATTCTTGATATATATATATATTACAGTGTTACCCTTTTTCCATTTGAATCTTTTATGTCAACAGAGACGTTGGAAAACTGTTTGCTCTGACGGGGGTTTTTGGGTCTGTGTGTGTGAACAACTGTTAAGAAAAAATAACTCGAAACATTCTAAAATACAACTACAATTCTGTGTGTACAATTCTTTGATCCCCTGTAAATATATGTTTTAAATGAAGTAGTCATGTGATTTTGGGTTTAAAATCGGTATTGCATTTGTGTTATTTAGGGAGACATGACTGAAATGTATGAATGTGGACATTCATCATGCCACAGTACCTATGTTAATTTCCAAAGAAGAGCTTAGCTGTTTTTCCCTCTCTATTATTACTCTGGTAGTTTGTTGCTTTTCTCAGTTTAGTTTCTTTACTGACAGGGAATGACAGAATCAACACAGGAAGCAGTACTTTAATCTTGTCGACAAACTGTCTGCTGTATAAAGCTTTCGTACATAATGAATGCTACATTACCCATAAATTCATCCTCTAAAGCACTTAATGTACAGAATAAACTTCAGTGCAACTTTAAATTGTGATGTGCTTCTTCTAACCGGTCGAAGATTTTAAGAGGAGCGTTTTCATTGCATGTCTGGAGTAAGGCCTCATTTCTTGCAATTCATTATTGTAGTTCCTCTAGTACACATGCGCCAGGGGTACTGTGCGTTCTTGCATACTGCATTTGTTGTTTTGGCAGCCAAGTCATAATGATGTGACTGACACCATTGCCTAATGCCCAGCTAAATGCTGCTAATTTCTTCTTATCCACAGATGTAGTTGTATTTGCTCCCTCTTTAAACTACTGTGTATTAAAAAACTAGAAGATAAGCAAGTCCTTCGACTCCTCAAGGGTCCCGTTTGTAGAAATGTGATATTTACAGCACAAGCTAAAAGGAAGTTGGTGTTTACAGTAAAAAATATGTTCCTGTAATTTCATTTAAGAGCTGATTCTTAAAGTTTTCCTTTTACTGTTTTTACTGACATTTCAGTCCAAAGCATTTAACATGTTATGGCTCAAGAAATGAAGGCCATTGTCAACGTAAAACACTCAATGGGGAGGGAGGTACCGTGGCAGATGTTCCTGAGTCAATGTTGTGTCTATTTGTTAGTCTGGTATCAGATAAGACACTGGACTCAACCTGCTCAGTATAAAGGTCATAGTACCAAAAGCCATGAAGGTTGATCATGAAGCTTATGAATTAGATCACAACTTGGAACCTTACAATCTGTCTTTTGGTAATACGTTAAGACTTATAACTTGAGTGTCTTCATTTTAGGTTTGTGTGAGAATACAGTTCTTAACATTAAATAGACAACAATGGAAATGTGATCTGATAAAAACCCCATGTGACATGGGACACAGATAAGGAACCAGTTTAATAAGGACCAAGGCTCAAATGCAACCATATTAGTGTACTAAGCTCAACCATAAAAGGGAACAGCTAACTGCATGCACCTGAACTCACCTCTGTACAACAGCAGACAATAAAATGAAAATGCACACTCATAACACAACTTAAAATCTAACTTTATTATGAAACAACAATTCACATTTCACCTCAATCAAGCACAGAGAAATATCCTAGTTATTTACTCTTTATACACTGGGTGGGTGGGTGAGATGAAGACCTGTTATTATCTCAGGGAGACAGCCATTAAAGGCAAATGAACAAACCTAAGGTCAAAACAAACTTATAGCTAAAATATCTTTGAGGGAAAAGTCCTGCAAAAATAATTTCTACTGCAAGCTTCTTCCATGTTTTGAGCAGTAATCTGGAAGCACACACAGACAAGCAGATGCCAGGATTGACTGAGGCCTAAACAAGATAAAAACCCCTGAGAAAGTTTTTGCTCTCTTTGTAAACTAACCTGAACCCATCCAAACAGTGCAAGGTTACAGATCAAATTGTGCTTTTGTGTAAAGTTTTCTTTGAATTATGAGCTGCCTCCTGCAGTGCGATACACAGTCCAGGTTACAAAATCAAACAACAACTCTAAAGTTACAACTGTGACTCAATCAAAGCTTTAAACTAGATAACGTATTTCACATTTATGTACCCAAGTAAACTGTGTTGTTAATAAAATAGACTAACATTTGTAATGAAGAAATAATGTGTGACGTTTTATCTTTCAAAAATCAAAGTTTTGTTTATTTAAATCTAGCTCTGCACATTTTTACTAATTTTAATGTATAATTGAGAAATGTTGTCTTAATATTAAGCAATATTAGCGGACAATAACTATTGTGTACATATACAATATTTTCAAATACAATTATTTATTCTATAAAAAAAATGTAAACAAAAGCATGAAATGAATAAGATTGTCAGCACGCCTGAGGTTCTGAAAAATACATCTAATTCCTCGTCCAATCAAATGATTAGGTTGAATTATGTTGATTACTGTAGATAGAATTTCAGTTCCAGCCATTATACATGTTTTATTATGTCCCATATTCATTGGTAAATGGCTAGTATAACTTAAATGTCTTTGAAATGTAAAGCTATTGAAAAACATTGATGTGTGCTTGTAACCCTCCCTCAACCACGTCTGCTCTTACTGCTGATTGAGCTAACGTCATATGAAGATTTCCAACTTTAAAAAAATGATTAAATACAGGCCTGGTGAAAAACAATTTAAAGCAGGAGCCACTTCTCTCCAGTCTTTTGTGTCCTCTTTTCATTTGTATTGGTAGCTCTCATCATCATACTCTAACTCAATCTCATCTTCATCCAAGAGTCCGTACTTGAACTTCCGGTACACTGTCCCATCTTGTCCCATGTACACAATATCCTCATCATCTTCGTTGTCTTCCTCGTCACCTTCACATTCAACGATTCGGTCATTGTACTCCCCATAGGAAGAGGTGGTGGGTTGTGAGGCAATGCCTACTTGGGTGTCCAGTTTCTCATAGCCTCCAGCTTTGGTTTTGGGTATGATGGCGAGTGTTTTAGATCGTGCGTTGAGGAAGAGGAAGACTCCTCCGCCCACAGAGAGGATAATAAGAACACAGACAGTGACAAAGAGTTTGGCAGTCCTGCCCTGAGCCTGTAACTCTTCTGCTTCCTTCATAACAAAGTTGACACCCTTGATGCACTCCACTGAGAAGAAGGAGATGAAGCACACAATTAGGTTACAACAACAAATGTGATTTGTATACTGGGTATGTGTTTTTGATGAATCCCTCTCTAACACAAGTGTGTTATACAATGCTCTTGTTTTGCTGGAATGCAGGGTTGTTTGTGATTGCTAGAGGCCAAAAGAGCTTGGAAAATTACTTAAAATAGGAACATATTTTCCATGATTATCAAATACAGGAAACCCCTGTTAGGCAGGAAGATACAACTCGTGTTTACACAGTGGGAAGGCCACCAATTACATGAATTATACAGGGTAGCCATTTCAAATGAAAGATGCCCTGATAGAATGTGACTGATGACGCACACACACACACGCTAACTATATTCCAGGAACACGACTCAACACAGTTTGGATCTGTGTGTGTTTTGTTGGAAGGTTCGTGTTTACCTTGTGAGGCCTTGCAGTCACAGCACTCCCAGGGTATTGGTTTGTTGTCATGGTGTGTCTCATTTCCACAGCAGGACAAGCAGCGGCCATCTTCAGACAGGATCTGGAGTGCGGGACACACTGTGCAGCTCCACGCGCCGGGACCGCGGCAGTCCAGGCAGGATGGGTCACATGCCTGGCAGTTTGGCTCATTGCTCGTGGAATCAGATCCCTAGAGCAACAGATGAACTCTGTGTCATTTTCATTTAATCTCTTACTCCTGCTTCATGACTTACAGTACAAAGCAGCCTTGTGTAAACTGCAGCTATCACTTTATTCTCAGGCAATTGTGATAGTTAGCTGAATAATAAATAACAAACACTCTGTATATGATTTAACAGTCATGCTGTTGTCACCTGTGGAGCAACGTAGAAGCCTAAAAGACACTGTGATGCACAGATGCCTCCCATAAACGTGTAGCCTTCATAGCAGGACTGACAGGCAAGAGCACCCTCATCTGGAAGGAGAGGGACACAGAGAAAGAGAGTTAGAAGTTAGAGAGGGATCACACAACAGGAAATACTGTCAAATGTCCTCACATGGTTGAAGGCGAATTTCCAGATTAAAAAAGCATATACAAAAGAGCAGCTGAAATCAATATAGCTTCAGGGGAAAATGTGATTGATAAGACATATATTCTAATAACACATATTATACCAAAGAAATTGTTCTGGTGTGTCCTGGCTTTTAGGGGTTTAGGATACTTCTACACAACAATTAATGCTCAATTGTCACACAAGAACACAGTGGCTGTACTGCATCGCCAAAAATTATCCTCACTCCAAACATTTGAGACTCAAATGAATAGCTGCAATTAACCAGCAGATTGTACACTCGTGTTTTGGTCATGTCCACAACTAACAAGTTACTGGGATACAACATTCAAAGTTTAATAGACTTTCCTAATCTATAATATGCAGGAATGTGCATCTTTGGTGTTCAGGGGGACAGAGATAGAATTACAAAAATAAACATAATTGTTTTATCTTTTGGCACGTACTGTAGGAGTCACCACATCCCCCAACTTTTCTCTATGCAGAACCTGGTGTAAATTCAAAAATTGGAGAAAATCTTGCCTTTGGGGGGCATCCTGAGAAAGTAAAATCCACTTGGGGTCCAACAGAACAATAGTTTATAAATTAAGGACTCAATTTATTGATTCCTCAAATATATTTTCTCCTTTTCTTTCCCAAATACCCTCTTGCATTTCATTGATTTAGTTTGTTACTGTTATTGGTCGTCTGTGAATTGTCCTGTGTTTGGCAGTGGGAACTGGATGGTGGAAATAATTAAGGTGGAAAAATGTAAATAAATATTATGTGTACAGTGTAACATTGTGTTCTCCGTGTTTCTGAGGATAAACAAATATACCAAAAGAGAAAAAAAACACATGGCAGAAACAGGCCAAGACAGGCTTCCTTTACCGCTGCAGGTCTTGCAGGTGGGGTGACACTTGTGACAGGTTTTAGACCGGCTGTGTTGGTAGTAGCTTGAAGGGCAGCTCTTCAGGCACTGCCCGAACTGCCTCAGGTAGACGTAGCTTTCCCGACAGTCCAGACAGTTTCTGTTTCCACGACCCCAACACTGAGTACACGAGGGGTCACATCGCTCACAAGCCATGGTGGTGGTGTTGCCAAAGTGACTGAAAAGGAGAGAAGGAATCTGTTTAGTTGATGATGTTATTTAAAGGAACATTTTAAAAGGAGACTGTATTTCAGTTTGTTCTTCTAACCTCTCTGAGCAGGTTTCCACGCAGTTGCTGCCCTGCTTGAAGAATCCAGATTTACAGTCGTTGCACTGCAAACTGTGACGGCCCACACAGGACTTGCAGCTGAAGTGGCAGCGCTCACACACACGTTCGTCCCTATCCTCTGCATAGTAACCCACAGGACAGTCCTGCACACACGTGTTGTCTGATGAACACAAAGTTAACATTTTAAGAAGGAGAAGATCCCCTTTGATGGAC